ATCCTATAACCTTCCTCTTTTGATAAAAAGTAAATACACCTTCATGGACCTTTTCCTTCCCCATTTATAACAACGTGTGTAACCTATTGTGAAATTGTACATAATGTAATCACTTACTTCCTTTAGCCTTCAGGGTGTTTTACAGTTTTCCATAAATACTTGCCAGCATATTCACCTTCCGTGTGTGATTATTTTATCAGCATGAAGAAAGGCATGCAAAGCAGTCTTTTGTGTGGATTCCCACAGAGAGAATGCCTTCTTTTTAGTTATTTCCATTGAGCTATTCTCTGCTGCATTCTTAGCGAAAGCTCTGTACAACACAGTGACGCAGGGTTCAAGTCAGAACCTGCAGCTCACGGCCCTTTCTACCAGAGGAATGAAGCTGGTGAGCCAGTGCATGAAACAGGAAGTTGTTTGGTTTTTTCCCCCCTTTGTTAGCAATTATTCATAAATTGTCATAAGCAAAGAATCTTTATTACAAAACCATGTTTAGCGTCATTTCAGCTAAATTGTACAAAAGGTTCCCACTTGCCCTTAGAAGGTAGTCTGATAGTTTTGATTTCATTATCCCGGCTGAGCCGTTATGATTTCACATCCATGCCAGTACACTGTCAATTAGATTTATGGTGCACACAGTAATTAAAAATCCACAAATATTTCTCCAGAGACTGGTTAGGCTACATGATATGCTAAATCTACTTGTTCACTCAAATGCTGCTTTAAGGAGATTTGGGGGATTCTCATTAGAAACAAATCAGTTGTTTGGCATCAAACTCAGAAATGGCTCAACTACAGCTACAGGGGTACTAAGTCTGGATAGAGATGTTGCAGATTAACTTTCTAATACATTGTCTAAGTAGCCTGGAAAGAAAAGAAAAAAAAGCATCTGGACTTCTATAAGTTGCTTGAAGACATTTCACTTCTCATCTGAGAAGCTTCTTCAGTTCTATGGTCAAATGGTGAAGAGTCCCAGATTTAAGCCCTATGGGAGTGTCCCCCCCCCCCATGAGGGACATGGACCCCCTATTGATCCTCTACCTAATCACACAAGCCAAGGTGTGAAAACGGGTGTAGGTCACCATCAGCCAAGGTTTCAGATGAACTCATTGTGAAACCTAGCCCCACCCTATCATGTGATTTCCTGAGGTCAAAGGACTCTTGTTATATGGATTTCAAGTCTATTGTAATTGAAGCATTCACTCTTTTATACAACCAGCAACTGTTTAATTCATTTTAACTTCAGGGAAAATGCTCACTTAGTCTGCTAGGCAAGAAGTTTCACCAGCTCGCTCGTCTGGAGCATTCAGGTTCTGCTGCAATCTTCCCAGAAGCAGATGTTCCCACAAATTCATCCCAAGAGAAACTGACAAAAATCAATTTAAAAATCAATATCAATAGGCCTCAGGATGGGAAATGTTAACGTTCATGGTAATAATGGGTGATGATTTGGGCAGTAAGACAAAGTTTACTTGTTTAAAAGGGTTGCCAGGAGAAACATGGCAACACAGCTTAGGTTTGCAAAACTGCATCTGAAGAAACCACAAGACTTCTGGAACAATGTCTGGAAAAGGGATACCAAAGTCTTCTACCAGAACGCAGAGTACAAACTGTCAAGCATGGTGGTGGAGGCCTATGATCTGGGCTTGTTGAACTACTCTGTACACCAAAGTATTCTAGAGTTAAGAGGCCATATGTCCAACAACTAAAGTTTAGCTGAAATTGGGTCGTGAACGACCCCGAGCCAGGTTTGCTGCTAAAAGATGGTATAAAAGCTATTGAATGATGGGGTGTCCTGTGAAAACTTTTCCCCACAAAACTATAATTTGGTTGTTTTTTTTTTCTTCAAATAAGGAGGATCAGACTAACAGCACTGAACAACTTTTCACATGAGAAATATTGATTAGACCAGCTTCAATCTGACCTGGTCAGTTATACCTCGACTCATCCAAGAGGAATTTTTAGTTGAGTCACTCCTCGAAACGCCAACATGTATCTCAGTGGACTGGGAGTACAAAACACTCATGCCTCAACTATTCCATCAAGCTGCAGAGGAGTTGACTATCAAGCAAAACACAAATGTTTCATTTCAGCGCTGACTTAATATGTATCAGCGCGATAACGACAGCGATGCCCTTTACTGTTTTTCCCTTCCCATGTGCGTTGCCACCAGAAGAAAAATGACCACTCTCAATCACATCTTTTATTTGTAAGGCACCAGAGACGCTTCCTTACTGCTAAAAGGTTGATTCATTCTCAGAGTACACAGTTGCTTGTTTACATCTTTTTTTTGTTTGTTTGTTTTTTTGTCCCGGGTATTTTGAAATGAGACTGTGTTTGTAGACACATTTAACAGTTTTTCATTTGCACAGAAAAAAAAAGGATAAAACATTTACAAATCTAGAAAACAAAGTTAAGTGTTACAGCCTACTGAGAGAGAATGAATGGAAGAGAAAACAGGAGAAAAAAAAAAAGACAGGATATACAACATTGTGCCTCTCGTAGCGTAGGCTTGTAATGCACGCGTACAACAACGAAGTCCTCCATGATACACACACATTAAAAAGCAGCTTTGAAACATACAAAAATGCTTTAAAAAATATGTATATTGATATATTCATATGTATACAAATTGGCCCTTCACAGCAAAACAAACACACATACCATTCACATGTCTGAGTTTTGCCAAGGGAGGATTTCTATAGAGGCTGACGTCAGTATAAAGAGTGCTAATGATTAAATGATCTGTTCTCGCACTCGATATATTGAAGTCAGATCTCCAGGGAGGGAGATACTCCAGCTCCCCAACACTTGCACAGACAGGAAGAAGAAAAACAAAAGGAGCAGTGAGCCACAACTTAAGTGCTTTTCAAATTAAAACAGAGGGAAAAGGGTTATGCTTGGACATTAAAAGCTGGGTTATCAAAGCTCTGGAAAGCACTCACATTACAGGGGAGGGACAGCTGACACACCTGCAGTGTACCTGTGGTCAGCATACAATCATAAAAACGAAAAGAGAGGAAAGCAATAATGTGACTGAGTACGACAGATAAACCTGGGGCTGTTTCCATGCTTTTTATAACCCATAATAAATCACTGGAAGAGCACCGCTGCCCTCTGCTGCCTAAAAAATGAACATTTCTCAGCCATAAACTTGAGCTGTTCACCAGTTTCATACCACATACCAACTGCAAACATTATGCATACAAGTTTTGATATATAAGATCACAAAAATGGGAAATTATCAACACGCATATAACCTCCTGGGTAGCATTTTCGAAAACGGTCATCTTCATTTTCTTAGATGTCACTTGAATCATTTCCCTATTGTTATCGGTTAAAGTTGAAAACATCTGTGAGCAGCTGCTCCTTTTCAGATATAACAACATAAAAATCCAACAGTCTGCTTTTACCTCTAGGCCTGAACCTGCACTACTAAACTAGCAGGTTTGGAGTTGTTGAGTGTGTGTAGCCTGGATCGTATTTACTAAAGATTCATTTTACTGTTATCGTTTAACACTGATCAACTTTTAGTCTAAATTAGTCTTACATGGCTAAACTACCAAAGAATGCCTCCTGATGTTTCCAACATCAATACACTACATTTAAAGCATATTATAGTAATTGTAAGCCACTTCAAATTACATTCACCAGCCACCTTATTAGGTACACCTTGCTAGTATTAGGTTGGAATACCTTTGGCTTTCAGAACATTTGTCATTGATTTAACAAAAAGCTGGAAACTTTGCTCACAGATTATGATCCATATCGACATGACAGCACCACACAACTGCTGCAGATTTGTCGGCTGCACTTCCAGGACACGAACGTCCCGTCCCACTGCATCCCAAAGATGCTCTATTGGATTGAGATCTGGTTTCTCTGGAGGGCGTTTGAATGAAGTAAACGCGCTGTACTCTGGGAAAAATCCCAGTAGAACAGCAGTTTTGGAAATACTCAGTTTAGCCCGTCTGACACCAACAACCGTGCCACGTTCACGGTCACCTTTCCTCCCCATTCTGATGCTTAGTTTGACCTTCATGTGACTGGTTGGAAGTGGTCAGCTGAACTGCTGCTCTTTAACACTGCAGATCCAATTCATTTTAATCATGCTTCTTTCAACAATAACATTTTGATATCTTAATAATCTATATTAATGAATGAGTCAAACGGTTAATTGCTATTTGTACATAACATCCTTATTTATATTAAAGGTGATAAAGCTATTTAAAGCTATACTGCTCATCTTTATTATTATTATTATTATCATCATTATCATCATCATCATTAATAATAATAATAATAATAATAATAATGATGAAAGTGAATTACAGCTCTGTTCAATAATCACATTTGTCAGAATTCAAACAAAACTGGGAGGAAATGACTGTCCAACAACAAGAAATTATACGTGGGAGCTGATCACAGGTAGAAAAAGCCGAAAACAAAATCTCGCCACATCTCCATGATGGTAACAAAGCTAAAAGAAGTCACTCTCATTAATACAAAAACAGCATATTAAATTTTTTTGCACATTACCTACATGAAAAGCTTGCTACCCATAGTGTATAATGAAGACAGTAAGTATGTGGTTGGAATACAGCTCGTGTTTCAAAATGCTGAGAATGTCAGGTTTGTGTAGTCACAGATAAAAAGAAAGGTGGTACTTAACGCAATCTCAGCTAAAACTAAAAAAGCTCTGCTAACCTATAAAAACACAACGCTTGGCTATATGTCAAAACCACACTGTTTTAACATTTAGATCCTATTTTGGGATCAATTTCGTGGACCCGAAGGGGGAAAGGGCAGGAACAAAGGGGGGGGGGGG